TTCGTGACGAGGCGGCCTGGGATCAGTTAAAGTAATGTCTGCCCCGGCACGCTGCATACATCCCATCCTGGCCCTAGAGAATGTTTACAACTAAGCGCCAAAACAAACAAGAGGCGTGCTGAGAGCACTATTTCAATACTAGGGATAGCTGTTTTTGAAAAGAAAGCAAAAATTAATTTTAAAGGGTTTTAAAAAATTCTTTTCCATGAAGAGCTACACCTTTTAAAGATCCAATCATTTGATTGAATCCTGTGGTCTGTTATCCTTCTGTCTTGGTTATCCATTCCTAACTCAGGCTAACTCAAGTGTGACAGGGGCTCAAAGGCCTCCGGGGACCTGGCAGGCAAAGGTCGGGGTCCAGGGGGTAAGGGCCTTCAGAATATGGGAGTCCGGGCTCCAGGCAGCAGTTCTCAAGTCCAGCCACTGCGGTCGAGGCCTTTGGGGTTGAGGCCACTGGGGCCAGACCCTCCAAATTCTCGAGAGGTAGTGAATTGGAGGTGTTTGTCTACAACACACCGTTGTGGGCCCGGCGCCCAGCCTGTCCTCTTTGGTCAGAGCACTGTCCCCGGTCACCCAAGGCAGCCGTGGCGAAGGGCAGGACAGGCTTGGCTGGAGACGGTGACCAGCCCAGCCTCCGAGGTCTGATGGCTCACCCTAGTGAGGTCATCCAGGAAGCCCGGCATTGTTCTGCCAGGAACCAGGTCGAAACAATGAGCACCGGACTCTTCAGTCCTAGTGAAAGTGAGTTCTGCCCAGGGAATTGTTCTCAGCAGGGCAGCTCCTGGGGCCAGGCTCTGTGACCTCCTGGGCTCAGTGTCTGTAGGCACGGCCCTCCCCACACCCTCGGAGTCTTACGTCTACCCCCCCTGAGATCCCCCACGCCGCTGAGAGCACCCCAAGACTGGCTCAGCCTCAGCCTTCAACCTGCAGGAGCGCCAACTTTGCCTGCAGCCTCTCAGAGCCTCCCCGTTTCACAGATTGGAAAACTGAGGCTCAGAGCGGGGAGGGGGGACAGGGAGGGGGTGCCCGGGGTGCAGGGGCACCAGGCCAGGCCGAGACGCACCCCTGGTTCCCAGCAGGCGGCGCCACGGCAGGACCAGGCAGCCTCTGCACAGGAACCTAATTGAGCGGGTAGTGCTTCTCCACCTGCGCTTTGCAGAGGAAAAAGTGGGCGAGGGTGAGCTGGTTCTGCAGAGGACTGGCCTCCAGGACAGCGCCGCGGGCGGGGGGCGGGCAGGATGTGGGCCCAAGGTACAGCCTTCTTCCCCATCACCAGGCCTGCAGGGGGCGGGGGCGGAAGGCACAGCGGGCAGGCAGCTCTCTGCGGCTGGGAGGGCGGGGGCGCTGCCCTCGAGGGGAAGGGCTGCTGGGCACCCAACACGCCCCAAACACGGGCCCCCAGGCGCTGGCCCTGGAGGCCGCTGAGTCAGGGCGCAGGGCAGTAGGCGAGGAGTCAAGAGGGCCGGGCTGGCTGTAGGTCCAGCTCTGCGGGCCAAGGGCTTCCGCCGCGCCTCTCGGGCGTCTGGGGAGGAGGGAAGCGCGGGCAGCTCTGGCGAGCGGGGAGGAAACAGTGACCCAGGGCCTCCTGTACTGGGCGCCTGGGGCCCGCAGGCGAGCCCTGGAGCTGACATTCCAGAAGGGGACTCAGACGCTAAACACACACACACAAGCAAATATTTACCACGGGGCCCGGGGTGCAGACGACAGGACAAGCCAGAGGCCGTCAGGGCCCACCCCCACCCCAGCAGGTGACGCTCCCTGAAGCCTGGCTGTCTCTGGGCAGGCTCTGGGCTAAGCCCTTTCTGGAACCAAGGCATCTGTTCCTCTTAGGAGCCGGGATGAAGTTGTGAGGCTCAGAGAGCTTTGGGCTTCAGGGTCTGCGCTTCTAAGCGTCCTGAAGCTGGGGGCTGCCGGCAAACATCCCGGAGAGTGAGCGGGGCACTCTGAGCAGGGGCGGTGTGTGTGGAGAGCGCCACATGGGGCAAGGCGAAGGCCAGGTCAGAACCTGGAATTGTCCGGGGCGGGGCCACTAGAGAGCTTTGCGCTGCCCTAGGGACACCGCCTGGCTCCCTCCCACCCTGAGGGGGATTTGAGCCGTGCTGGGCTTTCCTCTGTAAGATGCTCCCAGGAGGGAATTTCTAGTGGGGTCCTGAGTCCAGAGCCCCCAAGCCCCAGAGCCGCCGGCCTCCTCAGGGCGAGTGGAGCACGGTGAAATGGGCTGACACTGTCTTCTGCAAACGGGCTGACCAAGGGTGGGCAGCCGGAACTGCCGCCCCGCGGCCAAGGACCGTAACGCGGGGGCCCCAGGGGAGAAGGCGTCCTTGTGACGCTGGACCCCTGTCCCCTCCAGGGCGGGTGAAGCCCACGGGACTGGCAAGAACCAGGGTCAGCCTGGACCCTACCTACACCCTCTGTAGGTTCCAGGGACGTGTCACTTCTCCGGGACCCCTTCCAGAAGGGCCCTGCCTGGACTGAGCACCGACCACCTTTCCTGCCCTCAGGATGCTAGTCTCCAGGGACGCGGGGGCTCATTTCTCATGTCACAGAAACAGTCGTCAGTTCAGGAGGAGGACACAGTCAGGCGTCTGCTACGAGTGAGCCTCCGAGGACCCGCGGCCGGGCTGGACTGGATCCCCTGGGGGAAGGCGGGGCTGGGGGAACAGCCAGGCTGCAGGGGTCTGTCTGGGGGTGGGGTGGGGGGATCTCGGGCCCCAGTGCCACCCTGGAGACTGCCAGGACGGGCCGTGACCGCCGCTTGGGTAAAGTGGAGGGTGCTGCAGCTGTGGGGGTGCGGGGGGCCTGTCCTGGCGCTCGGGGGAGGTGAGTCAGCAGGCAACGGCCTCCTGGCCCTGAGTTCCCTGCCCCTCCTCCCCCCACCCAGCTCTGCCGGAAGTCGGGGTGCAGCGGGTCAACCACGATCCGAGATGAGCTCAGCTGAACCCGGGATCCTTGCTGGAGGCCACAGTAAAGGAGACAAACAGAGAAAGGCTCCGTTTCCATTTTCTCAAAAAACTTCCCCTTTCAAGCTGGAAGAACCTCTAAAGCCGCCTGCATCTCGCCCTGCCTGTGAAGAGCACACACAGGGCGGCCGCTCCTCAGCTCTGCACAGATTGGGGGGGGGGGTACAGACAGACCAGGGCCAGCTGAGGGCTCGCCTGTGGCCGCCCCGCCCTCTCAGAGCCGGCCACCCCGACTCTGTCCCTGGGGTTCTGCCGGAAGTCACAGCCCCAGGGACACCCGCTGGGGCCGCTGTGTTTGTGGCAAGGCCTTAAGCAAGTCACGGCCGTCACCGCGTGAAGGCTATCACATGCAGTCCGCAGGGGTGGACAACTCCCAGCTCACTCATGTTTGTAAACAAGCTCCCGTCCTCACTGTTCCTCTTTTGATCATGTTTCTCCTTCCTGCCCAGCTCCACACCTAACCTCTGCCTCGCTTGAAGGAGAGGTTGCTGCCGGGGGGATCAAACAGCCTGTGGTTCAGCGAGGCCGCAGGGGTGGCTCATTTGCACGGCTGCCCCCGCCACCGGGGGAAGGGGCTGGCTGCCTGCACTTTTGCTCCATGGGCCTGGAAGTCACGTTTCAAGCATCCTCCACCACCCAGGGCTTCTCCCTGTTGGCGCAGACGGTAAAGAATCTGCCGGCAGGGCAGGAGACGTGAGTTTGAGCCCTGGGTCGGGAAGATCCCCCGGAGAAGGAAATGGCCACCCACTCCAGCGTGCCTGCCTGGCGAAGCCCGTGGACAGAGGGGCCAGGTGGGCTTCATACAGTCCATGGGGCTGCAAAGAGTCAGCCACGACTAAGCGGCTGACACTTCCACTTTCCAACACCCAGAGTCCCCACCAAGATGCCCAGGGCCTCTGAACCACACAGTCCAAGCCTTCCCATGCCTCCACACCTTGGCTCCTGCTGTTCCCTTGGCCCAGCACACTGTTCCCTGCGTAACCCACAGGCAATCTCCCCGGACGACGGCCTGGCGGACCCCCAGTCTCCCCCCGGTGCTTCCTCGGGAGTCAGAGGCCACACCGCCTCTGTCGCAGACTCCCCGGGCCTGCTCCCCCGCACACAGCACGAGCCGTGACAAACACGGATATCTGTCGGACGGAACACTCGGGGCTCAGGACACGGGGGACCCGTGCGTGGGAGAAAGCCCTCGCCCTTCGCAGCTGTGCGGCCGCCTCGACGAGGCCGAGGGAGCAAAGACGGGGCAAAGGGCGAGAGCAGACGTTCAGTGATGTCCCTGGTGGGGCGGTGGGCAGGAACCCGCCTGCCAAGGCAGGGGCACGGGCTCGATCCCCGGTCCGGGAAGACCCCACACGCCCTGGAGCAGCAGAAGCCCGTGTGTCACCGCTCCCGAAGCCCGGGCGCCTAGAACCCGTGCTCTGCAACCAGAGACGCCACCAGGATGAGAAACCTGGGAGCCGCAGCAGAGAGTAGTCCCCGCTCGCCACGGCTACAGACCCAGCAACGAAGATCCAGCGCGACCAAAAAAAATAAATAAAAGTTAAAAAAAAAGGAGCAGGTGTTCAGGACACGGGCAGGGTTGTGGACAGAGGAAGGATGGGCCACACGCACCCTCTGCTAGGGACAGAGGAGGGGGCGTGTGTGTCCCCGGCATCTGAGCACAGGACCCCCCCAAAGGGTCCGAACCCCACAAAGCTCTGCCTTTCACTGAGGGATGAGCCCCAAGTCTGTAGGATATCGACTTTCATTAAACGGTACATTCTCCGGGCATCTTCTGAAGAGGATCTGAAGTGAGTTCTCCCTGGTCCCCCTGCGGGTCTGCCCCAGTGCTGGGGGTCCCACGGGAGGACCCCGCACACACGTCAAAGGCTCCGGGTGGGGCCTTAGGGGTCGTGGCAGACGTGAACACAAGCCCACTTTCTAGATGGAGAAACTGAGGTCCCAGACCACAGCGGATCAGCCGCAGGAGACACAGACGGGCTCCTCACACCCCCAACCCAACGGAGGCCAGAGGCGGAGGGTGAGGGCCTTATTCCAAACCTGGGTGGACCGCGTTCGTATCTAATGTCGTCAGGTTGGCGAATGTTGGTGCAGCGGCAGCGACTTCCAGGTGCTACAAGATGGTGACTAAGAGCAGCTACTGCTGGGCTACAAGAGAAGGTCAGCATTAAAATCCACTCCCGGGCGGGCGGTGCCAGGCTCCGGCGAGGGCTCACCCTGCCCTGCGGCCTTCCCACACGTGCGGACCACCACCCAGGCAGCCCGGAGAGACAGCCGCCACGGCCCTGACCCTTCACTGCAACCCTCACGCCTCCATCGTGCCTTCCGCGAGCTCGGTGTTGGGGCATCGCACGGCCCCCTCACGGCCTGCTGCTCACAGAGCGCCCTGAGACGAGGCCCCCCACCAGCCACTGGGGGCTCCCCAGAGGCGTGAGCTCTGTTCCACCGGCTTAGCCAAGCTTGTTTCTGGCAGACCACCACCCCACCCCCCACAACCCGGCCTGCCATGTCGCCCCCAGCTCAAGAACCATCAGTGGCTCCCAGCTGCTTGGAGAACAAAGTCCCCTGTCCATGAAGCAGTTCAGTTCCCAGAGCGCGTTCCCAAGTCCAGTTTGTTCATGAGTCCCACAAAGTTAGCCTAGGTACACAACTAACATAATGGGCTATATAGAACTACACTGTAAGAGGCGTGCGATACTTTTCACAGAAATACTGCATAAAAAACAAACACAAAAAATAAAGGAGAGACTTTTAATACTACGGGACAGTGCCCTGAAAGGCACAGTAGCCCAGGGTGACAGCTGGTACAGAGGCGTGGGCACCGAGCCAGCAGGCCAAAAGAGCTATGAGCGGAGGAGGGGGTGATGGCGGCCTGGCCTGTGCAGGGCCGTAAAGGACACGGGAGCACAACTGCTTGTGGGGGATGCACGCCCTTGCCAGTGTTCACCAGACACGTGAACTCAGCTCAGGCGCACACGCACGTTTTGCCTCTGTGGAAGTCTGCAGCCGGAAGGTTCGTCCGTAGGGGACTCACTGGCATCCGCGCTTCCCCACCGGGACCCAAGGCCCGCTATACGTGCCCCATCCCCAGTCTCTGCCACCTTACCTCCCCCTCTGGTCCTGCGTGGATCCCGGGGCCGCCTCGTTCTCCCCAGCAATACCCGCTTCCACTCTGTGCTCTGCTTGTGGGTTCCCTTTATGTTCGGGTGGATCCCACCCACTTTGAAAGACCTGGCTCAAGTGTCACCTCCTCCAGGAAGCCCTCCATGCCCATCCCACTCTTTCCCTCCCCTCCTCTGGCCAGTGTCACACCCCCACCCCGCACCCACATTCCCCAGGCACTGGGCTCTTGTTCAGAACTGTGCAGCTTTGGACAAAGTTCAGAGGTCTTCTCAGGAAACCTCAGCTTCTTCTCCTGTAAAACAGGCCTCCTAATCTATACAGCCACCCTTGGCTGACGTCTCTGAGCTCTCGGGCAGAGCTAGTAGATGCCCGGGACCCTCATGTATGTTTCAACATCAGCGCCACCGGGGGCTCTGGCTGAACAGGCAGGCGCCTCCCCCATCCACCTAGTGACTGAACCTTCAAAGCTGGTAAAGCAGCCCCCAAGTGAATCTTAGCATCATGTGAGGCCAGGGACAGCAGTGCTAATGGACTAGGAGGCTCTTGGGAAAATGCAAAGGAAAACCAGCCAATGAAATGGACTCAGCGATGACAACGCACGTGAGCGTGTGTGTGTCTGCACACGTACGTGGTCTCCTCTGCGAGACTGAGCAGCTGGCAGCTGGGTTTCATCTCGGAAAGCCCTGGGCCACCCACCAAAACCATCTGCCCCTGACCTGGTATTTCCCACTGCCACTGCTCCGTCCTGTGTGCTGGGGGACGGGTACTTCTGCCCCATTACGCAGAGGAGGAAACGGAGGCTCTGAGAGGAGCTAGGACTGGCCCAAGATTACCCAGTGAGTGACAGGCAGCTGGGGCTGAGCCCAGGGCAAGGCCAGCGCTCCGTGTTACCCGCTTGCTAAAGTGAAGAAGGGGCTGAGAACTGCAGGTGATGGCCGGCAGGTCATCACTGGGGCCTCTGGGGCAGGGAGGTGAGTGGGCACATGGGGTCCTGGGGGGGCACGAGCCTCCAAGAGCCCCCGCGTGGGCAAGGGGCACACACAGGAAGCTGGGAACTGGCTTTGAGGCCTGGTGAAGGGCAGCGTCCAGCTGAGCGGCCTCGGGCCGCTTCTCCGAGGACAGGGCATGCAAGGCACACTGCCTAGGACCTGGGGACCCCTCTGGCCGTCGCCCTGGCTGTCACTTTCTCTAAGGTGGAGGCGGCAGGTGGGGCCTGCCCGAAAAAAACCCGGGTCCCTCACGGTGCCAGTTCCCTCTCCCCCGGATCAAGCCCAGAGCCTGCGGGGCCAGTCTGGCCTCTGACGGCTGCTTGACAAAGGCGAGGCCTGCCCTCTCTGGGCCATGGCTTAGACCCTCTGACCAGGAGACCCCGAGCCTGGAGGGACAGTGTCCTGTCCCTCCCCGCACGCGTGCACACACACAGAGCTCTCGCCCTCGGGGAAGCGGCAAATGGACAGCGTTAACACACCCTCTGTGCCTCAGTCTACCCACATGTAGAATGGGGGCAGGGGCGGGGCCTGCCTCTTAGGGCCGCTGAGATGAAACGACAGGTATGTACAGATCACTTAGAGCGGCACCTAGACCACGTGCATGTGGTCAGGACGGTGAGCAAACTCATCTACAGCCTCCCTGAGACCCGAGGCAGCCTAGACTCACGGCCAGGGCCCGTGGGGTGTCTCCCAGGCCTGCTGGGGATTTGACAGACGCGCCGAGGAGCCAGGCCCAGGGTCAGCCAGCTCTGAGACTCGGGGCATCACCTGCCACCCTGCTTCCAACCTCCTCTCCTATTTCGTAGGTGGAAGGCGGGACTGAGGGACGCTGTGTGGGTGCTCGCTGGGATCTGAGCTGGGATCTGTGGGCACCTCCTCACCTCCCTGGCCTGGTCCTGGGGTGGGACAGGAGCTCATCTCAGGCGGCACCCTTCGGACCCTGGGGTGGGGCACCTGCCAAGCAGGAGAGGCAGACGTTTCAGGGGAGGGGTCAGAACAGCCTTTGCTGCCGAAAAGAAACGGGCTGCAGCGTCGCCTGACCACCACGTCGGGAACTGCAGACCAGGCTACTCAAAGAGGGTCTGAGCAGCCCCCCTCCACACCCTGATCACGGTTGCAGACCCTGGGCAGCTGAGAAGAAAATCTTTTCGAGGGAGAGGTAGCCTCGCCGGTGTCCCCCAGGATGGCTGAAGCTGCAGAAATCTGATTCTGTGATCTCTCAACTCCTGACAGCCGAAAAACCTGAAGGGTCCCAGCTGGAGGTCTCTGGGTATCCAAGACCCCCTTTCTGGCCGACACTGTGTGAAAGATCAGCCCGGGAGCCCGCTGCCCGGAGATTACAGATGAGGAGACTGAGGCCAGAAAGGGAAGGGGGCTGGTCTCAGGGAAGGGCCCGCCAGCAGGAAGGTGAGGCAGAGCGCGGGCCAGGGTGGGGTTTGGAGCCCCTACTCTGAGCCGCCCAACGCCAGGCCCGGCAGCCTACCGCAGCCCACGGCACGGTGGGAGGCCAGGCCTGCAACGAAAGGCTGCCCGGGACTCGCTCTCAGACACAGCACCTTCCGAGACTACAGCCTTGCTGTTCGAAGGAGGGGATAAAAAGCACGTCTCTTTCACATTCTGGTGACAGCTGATGGTCACTCCCACAGAACTGCCCTGAAGGGAAATAAGTGTGCCGGCCTGAGGGTGGGCCACTCTTATCCTTAGCATCAATTCGGCTCCTGACACGTACTAGTTCGTGAAACTCGGCGGCAGCATCTGACCTAGTGCGCCCATTTTACAGGTGGGGAGACTGAGGTCCAGGGGCACCAGCTTCGGGCTCCCAGGTTTCGGCGCTGCGCTCTGCACTGCTGACACCCTTTCCCTCCAGCCCTTACTGTTTGGGGGACCTGGACCAGCTCCTCTCCTTACTGATTTGGGGACCCCTTTCCCAAGCTCAGGAATTTCAGAGCCCAAGTCCCACAGGGGTACCTGACCCCAAGGGAAGGCCCTGCCTCTTCACCCGACGACCTACCTGCGGTCAGCTCAGGGGCCGAGAGGCTCCATCAAGCAAGGACTTGGGCTGAGGAGGTGGGGAAACAGAGGGTCCCACTGGTGGTCTGGGGTGGGTGACCTGGGTGAGCAGTCCCAGCCAGGGGAGCCATGGCCTGCTCCAAGCCGGATGCCTCTGAGGAAGACCCTGCTCCCAGCAGGCCCCCGTGGAACCCCTGGGCTAGAACCTGGAAGCACCTGGAGGGCTCCCACATTTGTCCCTTGCTCCCCCTCCAAGACGGTCTCCCTGAACACCGTCTCCGAGGCAACCGCCGCTGCTGGAGCCCTCACAAGCCTGGATCACAGAAGGCAGCCTGCGTGGCTCTAAGGGGACAGAGGTTCTGTGAGCAAAGAGACACGCAGGCGGAAAAGTGTGGGTAACTCACCCAAGGCACAGGGAAATAGGACACATCGGCGATCTGAGATGGTACAGATATCCGGCACCTTGGCTCTGGGCCTCAGAATATCTGCTCGTGAGGTCACAATGGCCCTTCCAGCACCACCAAGGTGCCTGGAAACTACGTCCTCCAGAAAAATGCCACCAATTGGGAACATCTCTTGGCAAAAGTAGGGTCAGAGGGGTCTCCTTTAGCACAGAGCTCACCATCTCTATACAGCATCATTTGCGAGGCCCTGGACTGTCACAGCCTGGTGCATTTCTATACCTCATTCCAGGCCCTGGAACGCACATCGCCGCTGCTTCTCCATCCTCAAAATGCCACCTCCTCCAGGAAGACTTCCCTGATCATCCCCTCCCTGCCCATCTCCAGTGGAATGAGGTGGTCATTCCTCAGCTGTAATCCTGGCCTCTTCCTACCCTCATCTGGGCACTCTAGGGCAGGTGACCTGCCTCCTTCCAGGCAGCAACGAATGAGGACCCTGGAAAAGCACTGTCATAGCAACCCTTTATGCTAATTCCAACTGTTCTTACATCCTGGAAACAATAATTGTGACTGATATTATGTGTCAAGACCTACAAGACCTTCTAGAACTAACACCCCCAAAAGATGTCCTTTTCATTATAGGGGGCTGGAATGTAAAAGTAGGAAATCAAGAGATACCTGGAGTAACAGGCACATTTGACCTTGGAGTACAACATGAAGCAGGGCAAAGGCTAACAGAGTTTTGCCAAGAGAACGCACTGGTCATAGCAAACACCCTCTTTCAACAACACAAGAGAAGACTCTACACATGGACATCAACAGATGGTCAACACTGAAATCGGATTGATTATATTCTTTGCAGCCAAAGATGGAGAAGCTCTATACAGTCAGCAAAAACAAGACCGGGAGCTGACTGTGGCTCAGATCATGAACTGCTTATTGCCAAATTCAGACTGAAATTGAAGAAAGTAGGGAAAACCACTAGACCATTCAGGTATGACCTAAATCAAATCCCTTATGGTTATATAGTGGAAGTGACAAATAGATTCAAGGGATTAGATCTGATAGACAAAGAGCCTGATGAACTATGGACGGAGGTTTGTGACATTGTACAGGAGGCAGTGATCAAGACCATCCCCAAGGAAAAGAAATGCAAAAAGGCAAAATGGCTGTCTGAGGGGGCCTTACAAATAGCTGAGAAAAGAGAAGCGAAAGGCAAAGAAGAAAAGGAAAGACACACCCATCTGAATGCAGAGTTCCAAAGAATAACAAGGAGAGATAAGAAAGCCTTCCTCAGTGATCAATGCAAAGAAATAGAGGAAAACAATAGAATGGGAAAGACTAGAGATCTCTTCAAGAAAATTAGAGATGCCAAGGGAAAATTTCATGCAAAGATGGGCACAATAAAGGACATAAGTGGTATGGACCTAACAGAAGCAGACATATTAAGAAGAGGTGGCAAGAACACAGAAAAACTATACAAAAAAGGTCTTCATGACCCAGATAACCACAGAAGTGTGATCACTCACCTAGAGCCAGACATCCTGGAATGCTAAGTCAAGTGGGCCTTAGGAAGCATCACTACAAACAAAGTTAGTGGGGGTGATGGAATTCCAGCTGAGCTATTTCAAATCCTAAAAGATGATGCTGTTAAAGTGCTGCACTCAATGTGTCAGCAAATTTGGAAAACTCAGCAGTGGCCACAGGACTGGAAAAGGCCAGTTTTCATTCCAATCCCAAAGAAGGGCAATGCCAAAATATGTTCAAACTACCTCACAATTGTGCTCATCTCACACACTAGCAGAATAATGCTCAAAATTCTCCAAGACAGGGTTCAATAGTATGTGAACCCTGAACTTCCAGATGTTCAAGCTGGATTTAGAAAAGGCAGAGGAACCAGAGATCAAACTGCCAACATCCTCTGGATCATAGAAAAAGAGAGTTCCAGAAAAACATCTACTTCTGCTTTATTGATTACGCCAAAGCCTTTGACTGTGTAGATCACAACAAACTGTGGAAAATTCTTCAAGAGATGGCAATGCCAGACCACCTGACCTGCCTCCTGAGAAATGTGTATGCAGGTCAAGAAGCAACAGTTAGAACCGGACATGGAACAACAGACTGGTTCCAAATTGGGAAAGGAGCATGTCAAGGCTGTATATTGTCATCCTGCTTATTTAATTTTAATGCAGAGTACATTATGTGAAATGCCAGGCTGGATGAAGCACAAGCTGGAATCAATATCGCCGGGAGAAATGTCAAAAACCTCAGATATGCAGATGACACCATCCTTATGGCAGAAAATGAAGAAGAACTAAAGAGCCTCTTGATGAAAATGACAGAGGAGAGTGAAAAAGCTGCCTTAAAACTCAACATTCAACAACTACGATCATGGCATCTGGTCCCATCACTTCATGGCAAATAGATGGGGAAACAGTGGAAACAGTAAGGGCCTTTATTTTGGGGGGCTCCAAAATCACCACAGATGGTGACTACAGCCATGAAATTAAAAGACCCCTGCTCCTTGGAAGAAAAGCTATGACCAACCTAGATAGCATATTAAAAGGCAGAGACATGACTTTGCTGACAAAGGTCTGTCTAGTCAAAGCTATGGTGTTTCCAGTGGTCATGTATGGATGTGGGAGTTGGACTATAAAGAAAGCTGAGTGCCGAAGAACTGATGCTTTTGAACTGTGGTGTTGGAGAAGACTCTTGAGTCCCTTGGACTGCAAGGAGATCCAACCAGTCCATCCTAAAGGAAATCAGTCCTGAATATTCATTGTAAGGGCTGATGCTGAAGCTGAAACTCCAATACTTTGGCCACCTGACTCGAAGAACTGACTCACTAGGAAAAAAACCCTGATGCTGGGAAAGATTGAAGGCAGGAGGAGAAGGGGATGACAGAGGATGAGGTGGTTGGATGGCATCACTGACTCGATGGACATGAGCTTGAGCAAGCTGTAGGAGTTGGTGATGGACAGGGAGGCCTGGCGTGCTGCAGTTCATGGGTTTGCAACTGAGCAACTGAACTGAACTGAACTGATTTATGTGTCTGGCGCTGCTGGCCACTTGATATGATTCTAGCTAACAGTAACTTTAAAACATCATGCTAAATATTTTTCTTCTTTAAATCGGTTTTCACTGATTATCGCTGCTCACTTTTTTTCTATAGCCAGTCCAAAGGTAATGGGACTTTAAAGCATTTTCAGAGAGACTGAGAGAAGAAAATGCACTGTTGAAATGCCTCAAATGTATGGAAAAAATCCTCCAGCTGCACAATAAGTTCTGGAGAGAAATATCAGCTCTCTGGGCCAAGCCCACGTGTGCCTGGGGGTGTCACCTGGCACCTGGGTTCCATATTTTATCTGGTCCTTACCAACCACCCTATGGGATGAAGGCTCTTACCCACGTCTGAGATTCAGAGAGATGGATCGATTTAACCAAGGTTGCCCAGCCAGGAAAGGCAGGACTTGAGGGCCCTGAGTCCTCAACTACAGGGCTGTGGGGCGTCACCTGGCCAAGATCTTGAATTTCAGGAGGGACCCCTCTTCAGCTGACACAGGAGGAGACTAAGGCCAGTAGGAGGTAGGGATGTCATTTTGAAAATTCACCAGCTAGGATTAGAACTAGGATTAGACTCCTGAGAGTCCCTTGGGCTGCAAGGAGATCAAACTAGTCAATCCTAAAGGAACCTGAATATTCACTGGAAGAATTGATGCTTAAGCTGAAGCTCCAATACTTTGGTCACCTGATGCGAAGAGCTGACTCACTGGAAAAGACCCTGATGCTGGGAAAGACTGGAGGCGGAAGGAGAAGGGGGCGACAGAGGATGAGATGGTTGGATGGCATCACCAACTCAGAGGACATGAGTTTGAGCGAACTCTGAGAGTTAGTGAAGGACAGGGAAGCCTGGCGTGCTGCCGTCCCTGGGGTCACAAAGAGTCAGACAGAACTGAGCGGGGGAACAGCAGCAACAGGATTAAAATCCACGTCTCCCGAGCGGGCCCGGGTCACACACGGTTTCACGACTAGGACCCAGCGGCCTCAATCACAGAGCAGCAGTGACCACAACCTTGCAGCCACGCTGAGCCTGGACCTTCCCATTTAATCCTGTTCACCTGCTGGGCTGGGGAAATACCCGCTGCTCAGGCCGGCAACAGCTTTTAACCCTTTACACTCAGACTGTCCCGATCTGAGGTCGTCGGCGGGTGTGGCTAACCTCAGTGAACTGATGAGAGGCAGAGGAGGGTGTGCAGGAGAGCTGTGTGCCAGCCCGCACCCTTTCTGGGCGTGGTGCCCCCCGCCTGCCTGAATCTCAGCCCTCAGAGCACCCCCACTCCCCGAGCGCTCTCACCCCGCCACCTCCCCCGCAAAGCGTGCCAGGCACTGCAGTCTGGGACTCGGTTTATTCACCCTGTGCAGAGCCTGGGCCATCAGACAAAGTCTCCTTTCACTGCTGGAGGGGCAAGGATGGCCGAGATCAGGCCACAGCTACTCGTATCTGAGAAACCTGTTGACTCACTGACTCATCTCGCTGTTCGGCCAGTCGGTTCCTGCTGACCTGACCCCCGGCGGCCGAGGCGTAGACAAGGTCAGTGAGAGGAAGGACCCGCCTGGCATCTGCAGCGCTCTCCTCTCAATTCCCCACAAGTGAGCCGCCTGCCTGCCCCCAGACCCGCCCTTAAGACTCTGCCCCAAACACCCTTTGCCTCATTCCACTTCTGCCTACTGTGCGCCACCATCAGAGACTTCAGCTGGAACCTAACTCTGCCCCTTGTCAGCCGCAAGTCTGGCGCGTCTCTTCCCCCCAGGGCCTCAGCTGCACCATCTGTAAAATGGGCCACCTCACGTTACACAAGGGCAGGTACCAGG